TCCCCTGAGCTTGTCAGGTTTAGTATGTGGCCCATTTTTCATCCAAAGAGCCAACCTCAGAGAGCAAGAAAAGTTTCATTTATGTAAGTCCCAAACAAAGGACTCACAGTTAAACACAGCATGAAATGAGAATGGGTGTGACACTATCAGTTATTGCACACAATGAGATAGCACTATACACACAGCAGAATAACTAAAATGAAAAGATTAGCACTTCCAAGAGCTAGTGAAAATGTGGAGCAACTGGAACCCTTTTTCATTCCTGAAGGTAATGTATATTAATATACCCACTCTGGAAAACTCTTTAGCAATATGAACAAACATATATTTCATGACCCAGCAATTGTATTCCTATATCACAGAAATAAGTGCATATCCCAGTTTCCAGTCTGGCATATAAAGAGTTTGGGAATCATCACTCTATCCTAACAACAAGTAAAAAGTTGAATAGAAAAATAAACAGCTCTTAAGATGTGTCAGCAAATGAATACAGGGCAAAGTACTACCTCCAAAACTGGAGAGATAAAGAGGCCAATACAGAGATTCACAACTTTTACTGGAGCTGAAACTCATGAGCAGAAACTTCCATAAGAATAGTACCAAAGTTGGAAAACCTGAACTATAACTGACAAATTGCTGAAGGGTCGAAGTGAACAAATCTGAGAGTTGAAAACTCTAGAGGGGTCTAGTCACTGGGGGAGGGGCACACTTGTAGTTTTACCTCAGGAGCTTTAATAAGTTCTATGGTGAATATCAAAGAAAACTCCCCTCACACTTCCCCCAAAGGAGAGGGGAAAAGAAGCCATTTTGAAATAAGCCAGAGCATTATGTTTTTCTTAACAAAATCTGCACAAAGAGAAACTATTTTACCACAGTCTAACCAACTGAGTCTTAATAGAGCATAACCAACCTGGGGGAAAGGGAAAACCCAACTCCAGTTTGCTCTAGCCATCCCATCCCATGTCAGGAAAGGGGAAAAACTGAGAAGCATTTGTGAAGTTTACAGCTCAGGGTCACAAGCTCACGAAAAGTTTGAGTTCTATTCATAAGACATGGAATGCTTACCCTCCTCTTATACCACAACACCAAAAGTCTATTTACTGGAGTTCCTTTTACCAAATACATTATATCTATTTATCAAGAAAAAATTACAAGGCATATCAAAAGGCAAAAAGCACAATCTGAAGATGCAGAGCAAGTATCTGAACCAGATTCAGATATGGCAGGGATGTTGGAATTATCAGACCATGAACTTCAAACAACTGATTAATATGCTAAGAGCTAAAAGTAAAATTATTTCTCTACTCACAATATTCCTGACACCAAATGCATAAGTTTTCCACACTGAGAAATTCTCCAGTTTCTCTGGGAACAGCAATTGGCTATCCTACAATTAAATTCAATTCTGATACTAACTACCCAGGGTTAGCACATTCTCCATAGGCTAAGGGCTCAGTCCCATGAGACTATCACCCACTTCAGATGCCTAATTAAAGTAGTGGGTCCCCAGGTCATCCATTGGTCACAGATCAGGAGTTCCCACAACCCTAGCCTCAAGTTTGATAATTTGCTGTAACAATTCACACAACACAGGGAAACACTTTACTTACATTTAATGGTTTATTTTAAAAGACACGAATTAACAGCCAGATGAAGAGGCACATATGGTGATGCCTGGGAGGGTCTGCAGCACAAGAAGTTCTGTCCCCATGGTTTAGAGTGTGCAACACTCCTGGCACATGGATGCCTTCACCAACCTGGAAGGCGTACAAACTCCATCACTTAGGATTTTTATGAAGGTTCCATTACGTAGACATGATTAATTAAATCATTGGCCATGAGTGATTAACTCAATCTGCAGTCCCTCTCTTCTCCTTGGAGTTCCGGAGGTGGGCCTGAAAGCTCTAACCCTGTAATCACATGGTTAATTCTTCTGGAAACCAGCGCCTGTCATCCAAGTCACCTTATTAACATAAACTACTGAATGGTTGAAGGGGCTTATTATGAAAAACAGAAGACATTCCTATCACCCTTATTACTCAGGAATTTAGAAGAGTTTTAGAAGTTCTGTACCACAAACCAGAGACAAAAAAGAAATATGTATTTCATATTATATCACAATATCACAGGGCTCTAATGAAAAAAATTAGACGAGAGACTAAGAGATGGATGATATAAGCAGACAGATGGAAATTCTAAGAACCAAAAACCAATGCTAAAGAGAAAAAAAACACTGTAACAGAAATAAATGTCTTTGATGGATACATTAATAGACTGGACATGACTAAGGAAAGAATCTCTGAACTTGAAGATATATAGATAGAAACTTCCAAAACAGAAACAAAGAGGAAAAAAAAGACACAATATCCAAGAACTGTGGAGCCACTACAAAAGGTGTAACATAAGCACAATGGGAATACAAGGTAGAGAAGAAAGGGAGAAAGGATCACAGGCTATACTGGAAGTAATAATGACTGAGAATTTCCCCAAATTAATGTCAGACACCAAACCACAGATACAGGAAGCTCAGAGAACACCAAGCAGGATGAATGCCCACCCCCAGAGCCCAGAAAAAAAATACACCCGAGCATATTACATTCACACTTCAGGAAAATCAAAGAAAATAATCTGAAAAAAGAATGGGAAAAAAAAATACTTTAACTATGAAGGGACAAGGATAAGAACTATATCAGATTCCCATCAGAAACCATGCAAGCAAGAAGAGAATGGCGTGAAATGTTTGATTTGTTGAGCAAAAACACCACCAACTCAGAATTCTGTATCTTTTGAAAGTATCCATCAGAAGTAAAGAAGAAATAAAGACTTTCTCAGACAAACAAAAACTTCAAATTTGTTTCCAACAGATGAACCTTGCAAGAAATTTTAAAACCAGTTCTTCAGAGAGAAGGAAAGTGAAGTAGGTCAAAAACTAGAATCATAAAGTAAGTTTTTCCTTACATAAAGTAAGGAAAAGCAATGGAGAAGGAATAAAGGAAGGTAAAGTAAAAAATTTTATTTTCTTGTTCTTAATTGACCTAGCAGATAGGAGTTTGCCCAAAATAATAATAGCAGCAATGTATTTAATAATGTATAATATATATGTATGTATATATGTGTGTGTGCTTATGTACAAGTAAAATGAATGACAACAAAGATACAAAAACAGGAGGGAAAATTAGGATTATCTTGTTATTATAAGGTACTTATACTACCCTTGGAGTGGCATAGTGTTATTTGAAAGTGGACTGGGATTAGCTGTAAATGTATATTGCAAATTGTAGGGCAACCAATACAAAAAGTAAAAAAAAAAAAAAAAAGAGGCATTATCACTATGCAAAGAAAGAAAAAAAAGGAACCATATAAAATGCTCAATTGAAACCACAAAAGGCAGAACAAGAATTGAATTTAAACATAGAAACAAAATAACAGTTGCTAAGACAGTATAAATTATAATAAGTTCTCATCAGAAGAAAAAAAATTTTTTGTAACTATGTATAGGATGAATGTTAACTAGACTTACTCTGGTGATCATTTTGAAATATACACAGATATTGAATCAGTATGTTGTACACCTGAAACTAATATAATGTTATATGTCAGTTATACCTCATTAAAAGAGGAACAAAGGCAACAAATTGAAAACAGTAACAAATATGGTAGATATTAATCCAACTATATAAATAATCACTTTAAACATCAATGGTCTAGATATAGTATTAAAAAAGAAACTGTCAGTGGATCCAAAACCAAAACTCAACTATATATTATCTACAGAAAACCATCTTAAGTATAAAGATATATTTATATAAATAGGTGATATAGATATATATACAGATATAGATATGAAAAGGGAATATACACCATACTAACACTAACACCATGCTAATCAAAAGGAAGCAGGAGTAGCTATATTAATTCAGAGAGAGCAAGAAAAGTTGTCAGAAATAAGCCCCGGCCGGGTAGCTCAGATGGTTAGAGTATCTTCCTAAAAAGCCAAGGTTGCAGGTTTGATCTTCAGTCAAGGCACATACAAGAAGCAACCAATGAATGCATAAATAAGTGGAAAAAAAATCGGTATTTCTCTCTCTCTTTCAAATCAATAAATAAGTTTTAAAAAAGAAATAGAGTATTCCATAATGATAAAGGGGCTAATACTCCAAAAAGATATAACAATTTTTAACATGTATGTACCTAACAAAAAAATTTCAAAATACACGAGGCAAAAACTAATAGAAATTCAGGGAGAAATAGGTGAATCCATTATTATAGCTGGAGACTTTTACACTCCTATATCAGAAATGTACAGATCTATCAGGCAGAAAATCAGTAAATACATAGCTGATCTCAACAGAACCATAATCAAATGTACATACTTAATATCTATAGACTACTTTGTCCACAACAGCAGAATACGTATTCTTAACCTCACATGGAACATTCAACAGGACAGACCACACTATGGAACATAAAACACACCTTAACAAGTTGCAAAAAAGAGAAATTTTATAATGCTTGCTCTCACATACAAGATAATTAAACTAGAAATCAATAGAAAAATAGCTGGAAAAGCCCAAAATACTCGGAGATTAAACAACATACTTCTACATAAATCATATGTCAAAGAAGAAATCTCAAGAGAAATTTAAAAATAATTGTAACTAAGTGAAAATGAAATACAACATCAAAATTTATGAGTTTCAGCAAAAATATAATTAGGGAAAATTAATGGTATTGAATGTATATATTAAAAAAAGAAAAATCTAAAATCAATAATATAAACTTTCACTTAGGAAACTAGAAAAAACAGTAAATTATATTGAAAAGGAGAAGAAATGAAATAATTAAAAATTAAAACATAAATTAATAAAATTGAAACGGGGAATCAATGGAGAAAAATCAAATCAATGAAACCAAAACCTGGTTCTTCAAAAAGATCAATGAAATTGATCTACTTGGGCTAAGTAAGGGAAAAAAGAGAAGATACAAATTACTAATGTCAGAGCTTTTCACAGTGGCGGTATCATAGCCAATGTGGTTTATTTGAGGTGCAATTATTGTTAATTAAAAATTTTTCTCAATACCCCACTGTGACAACTTGAAGTACAGTTGGCACTGGCAATTTCTGACAGTCTCTACAGAGGAAACAAACAAACTACTAATGTCATAAATTAAAGAGAAGACATGACTACTCATCCCACAGAAGTTTAAAAATAAAATTAAGAAATATTATGAGCAACTCTATGTCCACAAATTTGATAATGTGGTGAAACATCCAAACTTGAAAGAGACAATCTGTTAAAATGGACACAAGAATAGACTATCTGAATAAGCCTGTATCTATTTTAAAAATGCAATTAATAATTAACAACCTTCCAAAACAGAAATTATCATGCCCCGATGCATTCACTGGTGAATTCTACTAAATATTTATGAAAGAAATGATACCAACTCTCTACCATCTTTTCCAGAATGTAGGAGCAGAGATTCTTCCTAACTTATTCATCAAAAGCTAACATGAAAAGCAAAGACATTACAAGAAAAAAAAGAAAAAACTAAATACCCCTCATGAACATAGACGTAAACATCCTCAACAAAATATTTGCAAATTGAACACAGCAATATACAAAAAAGAATTATGCACCACAATTAAGCATATTTATCCCAGACACCCAGGGCTGTTTCAACATTCAAAAGCAATTAATGTAATTCATCACATAATCAGGATAAAAAGAAAAATCACATGATAATATCATTAGATGCAGACAAAGCATTTGACAAAATCTAACACACAGATTAGAGATTAAAACTCTCAGCAAACCAGGAAGAGAGGGGAACTTCCCCAACTTGATAAACAATACCTACCAAGAAACTACAACACATTATACTTAATGGCTAAAAACTAGAAACTCCTTATCAGATCAGAATCAAGGCAAGAACATCCCCTCGCACCACTTCTTTTCAACATTGTACTGCAAGTTCCAGCTAATGCAATAAGAAAACGAAAGAAAATATAAAGTATACAGATTGAAAAAGGAGAAATAAATACTGTCTTTATTTGCAGATTACACAATTGTCTACGTAGAATATCTGAAAGAATTTTTAAAATACTCCTGGAATAAATTAGTAATTATAGCAAGGTTTTAGAACACAAGATGAATATACAAAAGTCAATCGCTTTTTTTAATAAACCAGCAATAAACAAGTACAATTTGAAATTAAATACTCAATACCATTCACATTAGCACCCTCAAAATAAAATATTTAAGTGGATATCTTATGTTTACAAGATCTATATGAACACTACAAAACTCTGATGGAAGAAATCAAAGAACTAAATAAATAGAGATATCATCCAAGTTTATAGATAGGAAGGTTCAATATCATCAAGTTGTTCACAACTAGATCTACAGATTTAATGCAATCCCTGTCAAAATTCTAGCAAATTATTTTTTGGATATGAACAAACTGACTCTAATTTTTTTATGAGAGGCAAAACACCCAGGAAGGCCAACACAATATTGACAGAGAAGAACACAGTGATAGCACTGGCATTCCCTGAATTCAAGAATTACTATAAATCTATAGTAATCAAGTGGGAATATCAGGAAGTAGACAAACAGAATAGGCAAATAGATCAACGAAAACAGAACAGAACCCCACAAACAGTACCACACAAATATATTCAACTAATATTTGACAAGGGAGCGAAAGCAATACAATGGAGGAAAAAAAATAGTCTTTTGAACAAATGGTGTTATAACAATTATATGTCCACATGCAAAACAATATATCTAGACACAGAACTTACACCCTTTACAAAAATATAATACTGGGTTGGCTGAAAAGTTCATTAGGTTTTTTTCTGTAAGATGGCTCTAGTTCTGCTTAGTTGTCTTTAACTTAATTTTAAACAATTTTGTTAGGCTGTATTATGACAGTTGTCATATAAGCATGCATTTTAAAAAGCTTATCAAGATTGGTGATTTTTTTTTGTGTAGCTATTTTAATATCGAAGATGGAAGAAAAAAGCAACCTTTTTGGCTTTATTATTTCTAGAAGGGTAAAAATGCAACTGAAACACACACAAAAAAGATTTCTGCAGTGTATGGAGAAGGTTCTGTAACTGATTGAACGTGTTAAAAGTGATTTGTGAAGTTTCCAGCTGGAGATTTCTCACTGGACGATGCTCCACAGTTGGATAGACCAGTTGAAGTTGATAGTGATCAAATCAAGACATTGAGAACAACCAACATTCTACCATGTGGAGATAGCTGACAGACTCAGAATATCCAAATCAATAAAGTTATTGGTGAAAATAAAAAATGTGTCTTTTATTTTATGGAAAAAACTAAATAGACTTTTTGGCCAATCCAATAAAAATAAATCCTAGAACTAACATTAAAATGTAAAACTATAAAATTTCTAGAAGATAACATAGGAGAAAATCTAGGTGAGCATGGGTACAATGGTAACTTTTTCAATACAACACTGAAGGCAAAATCCATTTAAAAAAAAAAGAATTGATAAGCTGTACTTCACTAAAATTAAAAATGTCTGTTCTACAAAAGACATTCTTAAAAGAATGAGGAAACAAGCCACAGACTGTGAGAAAGTAGTTGCAAAAGATGCATCTGATAAAAGACTATAATCCAAAATATACAAAAAGCCCTGGCCAGTGTGACACAGTGGGTTGAGTGCCAGCTTGCAAACCCAAAAGTCTCCAGTTCGATTCCCAGTCAGAGCACATGCCTGGGCTCCAGCCGGGGATATGCAAGAGGCAATCGAATGATGTTTCTTTTACACATTGATTGTTTCTCTTCCTCTCTTTCTCCCTCCCTTCTCTCTCTTTAATAAATAAATAAATAAATAAATAAATAAATAAATAAAATCTTCAAAATATACCCAAAGCCCCGTAAATCTCAACAATAAGAAAACAAACAACACTATTTAAAAAGTGGACCAAGATCTGAATGGAAACTTTACTAAAGAAGATATACAGATAGAAAATAAGCATGTGAAAAGATGTTTTACATTATATATTAGGAAAATGCAAAATAAAACAACAGTGAGACACCACTATACACCTATTAAAATGACCAAAATCCAGAACACTGATAACATCAAAGGCAGAGCCAAAGGAACTCTGATTCATTGCTGGTGGGAATGCAAAATGGTACAGCTATTTTGAAAGACAGTTGGCAGTTTCTTACAGAACTAAACATACTTTTACAATCCAGTTATTTATTGTACTTCTTAGTATGTACCCTAAGGATTTAAAAACGTACATCCACAGAAAAACCTGCATACAGATATTTACAACAGCTTTATTCATAATTGACAAAACCTAGAAGAAAAGAAGATGTCTTTCAGTGGTTGAATAATTAAATAAACTGGTAAATCCAGATAATTCTGTATTATTCAGTGGAAAAAAAAAATGAGCTATTGAGCAAATGAAGTAACATAAAGGAAATTTAAATATATATTACTAAGTAAAAGAAGCTAGTCCAAACAGTCTACATACCGAGTGATTTCAACCACTTGACCTTCTGGTAAAGGCAAAAGTAAGCAGACAGTAAAAGAATTAGTGGTTGCCAGGGGTTAGGGAGAGGGGAGAGATGAATAGGCAGACCACAGGATTTTTAGGTAGTGAGACTATTCTGCCTGATATTATAATGGCAGATACAAGACTTTACACATTTATTAAAACCCATAGAATGTACAACACCAAGTGTCAACCCTAATGTAAACTACAGACTTTGGGTGATACTAATGTATCAGTATAAGTTCATCGTTTGTAACAAATGTCTCACTCTGGTGCAGGATGTAGATAGTGGAAAGGTTGTGCATATGTGTGAGCAGGAGATATATGGGAAATGTCTATACCTCCTGCTCAATTTGCTGTGTGCTATATATATAAAAAAAAGTGTACTAAAACAAAAAAAGTGCGTATGCCCATCAAAAGACATATTTGGTACCAATCAAAGCAGCATACTAGAAATATAAATAGTGCATTTGCATATAATGGACTACTACATAGCCAGAACAAACTACAACTGATGTGACAATGTGAATGAGTCTCACATAAAAGACAAGAAAGGCTGCAGTGGCTGGTGTGGCTCAGTGGATTGAGTGCCAGGCTGTAAACCAAAAGGTCACTGGTTAAATACCCAGTAGGTCCCCAGTAGAGAGCACGAGAGGCAACCACACATTGATGTTTCTCTCCCTCTCTTTCTCCCTCCCTTCCCCTCTCTTTAAAAATAAGTAAATAATTAAATAAATAAATAAGAGATTGGGTAGCCAAGTGGATAAGAAAACATGACCCATATACAGGCTGTCTACAAAAATCCACCTTAGAACAAAAGATTCACACAGGTTGAAAGTGAAGGGGTGGAAAAAAATTTTCATGTAAATGAAAATAAAAAAAGAGCTAGGTAGCAGTACTTATATCTGACAAAGTAGACTTCAAAACAAAGACCATAACAAGAGACAAAGAAGGTTACTACATAATGCTAAAGAAACTGATCCAATAAGAGGATATAACCTTTGTAAACATACATGCACACAGTATAGGAACACCTAAATATTTAAAGAAAAGCTTGGTGGTCTTTAAGAGAGATAGCGACAGCAATACAGTCATAGTAGGGGATTATAACACACCATTGTCATCAATGGATAGATCATACAGACAAAAAAATCAGCAAGGAAACAGTGACCTTAAACTACACATTAGAATCAGATGGATTTGATATTTACAGAATATTCCATCCCAAAGCAGCAGAATATATTTACACTCTTCTCCAGTGTACATGGAACATTCTCAAAGATAGACCACACATTAGTACACAAAATAAGTCTTAACAGTACATGAGTGGATAAAAAAGCTGTGGTACCTTTATACAATGGAATACTACATGGCTGTAAAAAAGAAGGAAATCTTACACTTTGTGTCAGCATGGATGGACCTGGAGAATATTATAGTAAGTGAAATAAGCCAGTCAGAGAAAGACAAATACCATATGGTCTCACTCTTATGTGGACAAAATAAACTAAATGGAACAAAATAAATGGATAAACAAAATAAAACCAGAGGCATGGACACATGAAACAGATGGATACATTTCAGAGGGGAAGGGGAGTTGGG